GGTTCCGTTTCACTGTATTATTATTGCTATGTAAAGGGGTTAGCTATGAATTAGAAGGTCAAAGCTATTAGTAACTGGCATGCGTTACTAGAAACTGGTGCCCGTGGGAAACTAGAAGCAATAGAGCGATGCGTTTTTGCGGGCAAATACGGTATTAAAATTTGAAATGTAATTTTGACCGGCGCCTTTGGAGAGTTACCATTTGAAGTAAAGACATCAGACATCGAGGATATATTTCGTCCATATATTCGCTGATGGATAGAAGATGGACCGAAATTTCATTGGTGTTCGAATACCCCATCATCCAGACAATCTACGAGTTGCTGTGTTGCATTCGGTGCGTTGCAGGTGCTCACATAGCATGGAGCCGTGGCCTTCATAATGGTTCTCCTAAGCGGCAAGAAGTAAAGAGTGGTGCGTTTTGCCTTGTAAATTTACTGTTAAAAATTTATATGAAACATTTGCCTATAGAAAGCAGCCGTTCATGACAGTTACCTGAGAACATCGGATCATATCTTAATTTATTTTGCTGAAGCATAATCCAAACAGTAAGACTGAAAATGAACTTGAAAAAGAGTCAGATCAGATTTAACAAACACGTGACCAAACAGTCCGTTTAAGTCTTCAGACTTAAGCCTGACGAGACGCTAAGCTATGTCTATATGGGACAGCTCATCTCTACAACGGGTAACCAATTGTGTGAAATCAACAGGCGAACAAAAATCGCTTAGAGCACTTTTGGAAAACTGCATATGTCCCCAAACGGGAAACGGTTTTTGATCAATGGCTATTCCCAGTGCTAATCTATAAATGCGAAATGCGGATTCAAAGCCGAAAAGCTAATCATAAGCTACAGACTAAGCAGCGCAGCACGGAGGGATGCCGGGAATGACAAGATATAGCAGAAAAGTCAGATGGATATGAGCACAAACGTGACTGTGACGTCACTGCCTGAGTCAAGAAGTTCAAGTGGCAATTAGGAGGGCAAGTTGCGAGGAGAATCGACCATCACTGGATCAAAGAAACATTAGAGTGATTTCGAAGAGAGTGCAAATGGCTCGTAGGGGGTCTCCAAATCGATGAGCTAAAAAATTTGCTGGATTAAGATGGATAAAATGGCAGAAACCAGAAGTTCATGGAAAAGTCTTGGAGGTGCCTTCAGACTGTAGTAGATCGATAACGGTTGATGATGAAGCACAATTTGTATAATCTGACGTACAAAATGATCAGTTATTTCCTGCATACAAAAACACCGTTGTACGTTCAATTTCATAACGCATTTTTTAGATATCTGATTATTCGAACCACCCTTGATTAGAGTATAACGCATCAAAGCCTACCACTAAGGGGCATAACACCGCATCATTGCTCCCAGAATCGTATGAGGCAATTCAGCAGTATACACCTTCTCGGTATTTGGCTACCAGTACCGGAGAGAGTCATGTCGTATCATTTGATTCGCTAGAGCAAAATTCAGATTTTTTCTAACGATGGTTCAGGACCGTCCAGTTGCAACGTCTGTCTATCCAAATTAGTTGAATAGGTATACTGTTGCGGCGTTTGAAGTTCATACTGTTCACAGCACGTACATGCTTTTGTTTACCTCTATCCGATGAAGAAAATGAAGCGAATGAGACCTTAGACGCATATATTTCGAACACTGAAATCAACCACATTACAGTAAGATTTATTTTCCATTTGTACTACAAGACCGGAATGATTAAAGTTTTACACTTCATATACAACTCGGTTTGTTACACGTCGAACAGCATTTACAAATCTGTACACTAGACGGTGGTTTCCGCTGCTGCGGTGAAAGTCGGCACGGGTGGTCTCAGATTCAGACGATCGCCGTCTGTTCCTCCGAATCAGTACCGCTGCTAGTTTCGGTGACGACCGGGAACGAAGTGCTGGAGGTACCCTGAAAATGCGGACCGAGGTTTATGGATGACGCCCAGTGGGCTGGAAATGCTTACGTTGAACGACTTTCTTTGGCCCCATATCGTGTTCTTCACTTGACGAACTCGGCGCTCCTTGTCCGACAGACCGTCTGAATGAATGGCAGCTAACTCCAGACTGCGTTCCAGACTTGAAGCCATGGTACTTCCGCTGCTAGCCGCAATCGGGTCAGGCGTCACCGGTTCCGGCGATCGGTCGCTGGTGTTTTCTTCTTCGCTAAACAAAAGGGTTAAATTTCTTTTGCCTCAGAGCTATCAAATCTTAACGGCCTCTAAGGTGTTTGAAGGATATAAACGACCCCTTTCAGACTGAAATTGAATTGCAATAAATTCTCGATAAAATAAAACAAAAATCTAATGCTTCCATAAATCGTTATGTGATCGGCAACATTTTTCTAAACATAACAAATGTGCAAAACGAAGAACGTGTAATCGATAAAAACTCATGAGGCAGAAATCTCGACGAGCTCATCACTCAGACGCATACTAAGCCATTCTTTGGTTGCTTGTGCATGCGGACGAATTTAGTTATGCCGACCACTTTCGCCCCACCCTCTGGCGGCCTGTGCATCTTGGGCAGATAGCCAGAATAGCTGAGGAGATATGCTTAAGTAAAAGATTTTTTAAACGTAACTTTTCATTGAAGATATTCGACGCGAAACAATGTTATGGAAACAGATGTGTTGAAAACGGAATAATGGCAAATGAAAATATACACATCGCCCCCTTACTGCTAGCTGCTCAACGGATTTTGCTTAAACAGGTGGCCATGGCCTTTCGACAGAGTTCCAGCACCTGAAGAGTATGGATGCAGTACCACATCATTTCACATTCACCAGGCAAAGCATCTTGGTGTCAAATGCTGTCATTACTGGTAGCGCCCCCCCCCGAATTTCATGATCATCCTTGATGTATATAAATGCCTAAGAAAACTGGTGTTTCAGCCGTAGCCTGCTCGAACGGTTCCATATGTATTCCCTATGTAACT